GGCAGCCATGAAACAAGGAGAGGGTTGCCTCCATTTCAGCACTGCCGCTCATCTGGGGAGATGTTTTCTCTGTTGGGTGAATATTTAGCAACTTGGAATCTCAGTCACTGATCAGGCTCTTGGCAAATGACAAGGAGAATTTTGAAGAGCCACAAAAATAGTGGGGACTAAACTAAAACAGGCCTTAAACTAGCCAGTGTTCAAAGAACAGGGTTAACCTCTCCACAACACTCAGATGGGACTGGTGAAAAAAAAAGCAAACAACTAAATTAATGTTTGGTAGACAATGGGTTTCCAACTGTAGAAAGATCTTTTCTACAACAGCATCCTCTGCTCCTCAGTAAAAAACCTGGAGTTTCCATCCCTTCAATATTGCTGGCAGAAAAACATTATTTAGTGAGTTCTGCCTGAAGTGCTATGAAAAAATAAAAGTCCACGTAAGTGCAGTCCCAATTCCAGGCCCAGGCTGGGGAGCACTTACCCAGGCTCTCAGGGCACCTGATGGAAACACGTCTGGGGTGTTGAGCCCAGCTCAGCATCAGGGGTGCCTAGGCCAGCTGCTTCCTAAGGTGGCCCCCACCGATAGTGCCAACCTTCGGGCTGTGGCCATCCCCCAAGGAAGTCAACAAACCCTTCTCAGTCCTGCTCTGCCTGCGGAAGCAGAGAAGCTAGCATCAGCCCAGCACGAGCCATGGTCTCCCCAGACCACGTGCAGTTCTACCCTTCCAGGAAGTGTCCCATGCCACGTGTCCCAAGAGCACAGCCCAACCCCACTCCTTGCACCCAGCCAAACTCACATCCCTGCTCTCCAATGGGATTGCCAGAGAGGCAGAGGCTGATGGCTGCAGCCTGGCATGCACAGCATCCGTGGGGCTTGGGGTTAGATCCCATGGAATCCCCATGGTGTCCCCATCCCAAAACACACCACCCATGCTGAGGCTAACTGGCCACTAACTGTAAAGCAGCTCAGCAATTAAGAGCTGATACCTGGCAGACGCACCGACCCACACAACGGTCAAGCTCAGGGACAAGTCAGCATGAGGAGGATAGACCAGTGACAGCAGAGGCTGCTGATGAGAAGGGACATGCAACAGCACATGCTAGTGGAGGTCAATTGGCTCACTGTAAATCATATAGACTAGTGGCAGGAAAAAGTCACAAGCGCTGGGCAGTACAAGGTTTCTGGGATGAAACCCCAATTCGGTGCTAGAGACAATCTCCATTCCCTGGTTTTCTCAGGGGAAGACTAGTCCAAGTGGTGTAAGACTGACTGACAGTGAGTTTATACAAATGCAGATATTCAGTAACCAGCAAGTGTGGGTATAAACAGTAGGTGAGTTTTTAACCATGCAGAACCAGATAAAAAAACTAACAAACTGTGGCATTGTGTAGGAATATCTATACAGTGCTTAACTTTGTACAGAGCTGGTGTGAACCATGCAAGAAACTCCCTACAGAGACCAGCCACCTTCCCCAGTCTTCCCAGTGACACATACATGCTGTTTAGACCAACACCAGAATGACCAGTGATGTGCCTGTGTTACATTTTAGCTCAGTAAAGATGCAGTAGTTTGGGAAGAGCTTGGCACATCAAGGTTTCTCCCAGACATGACTATGTCGCCCAGCCAGCACATTTTACCGACAGTGAGGAGCTTTCCATCTTACCTGAGGTCATGGAGAAGTTTGCAGAAGATGATGGCGTGGGCACACGCATTCACTGCCAGAACCTTGCAGTGCCTTGTCAGATCAAGGCCTCCTCACCTTCTACTTCTTCATCAGCCTGAGAGGACTTGAAAGGCTCTGTAGTGTCCCTTATCTTGGCCCAGAAGGCCAAGCAGCAAGGATTTAGAAGAGGGGCATGGCCTGCACCCATGCAGCATCACAGTCCATCCCATCAGGGTTGTACCTGCAGCATGAGACCCCAGCCCTTCTCAGAGTTTCTCCTTGCCGACACAGGACCTAGCAAAGTGGCTGGTCCCACACGCAACACAACCACCAAGAATAAGGTGCATCGGTGGATGCCTGAACCTGTGCTTTCTCTGATGCTACATTTCTCTATTACACAAGTCCCAGCTGGACTTTAAAGCCCAGCCACCTGCAAGCTGCTGGCACAGTGCTTGGGACAGACTTCACTGGAGCTGCCCTTGGGCTGGAATTAATGAGAAAAATCAAACCTTCAGCAAGTGGTTCTGTTTTCCAGTTCAAAGCTATTTTTTCCTTTGCTCTCAGCTTTCCTAGGCCAATACTGTGCCTCCTGCCCTCCCCAGCTGAGCAGCCTCTCAGCAACTTCTCCCTGCATGTATTTGCTATGAAGTCCCTGTGTCATGGCATGGCCAGCTCAGCAGCATCCAGATGTGGGAACCCTTGCCCAGGACCTGCCTTATTGCTTGAAGTGAGCTGCAGCGATGCTTTCAGAGGGTACAAGGCAACTGTCACAACAACAGAGTGACTATGACTAGCCCAAAAAGCTCTGAAAACCAGAGCAGTTGATTCACTCCTTTGCTAAGGAGATGGTATTTCCACCAGCAAAGGTGCTGGAGGTTTAGAGCTGGCTGGAGCAGCCCTCCCAGCCAGGCCTGCTTCAGCAGAGGACAGCTGGGTGCACCATTTAGCCTGACATGAGGCAAATGTACAGTGCTCTTGGCCAGAGTAGGACACTGCTAAGCTATCTGAATGACTTGTGTCCTCTGATGGAACCCGAAGCATGCTTCAGTGTACCTCAAACCTGCACTGGAGATGGAGAGAGGTGAAAACTTGCCCATTCCCTAAGGGTCTCTGCAGCTCACCCAACTCAGGCACGGCTTCCACAGGAGAGGCACCAACTGGGGTCCAATGCCCTCAGCCAAAGCTCATTAGGGACAAAAATGACCACGTGCCCCATCGCAAGCAATTGGAGTCCTGTCTTGCACCGTTCACCGCCAGCAGCCTGCTGGTGCCCATGGCACCATAGTCACGGTGAGGAACAAGGGTGGCCTGAATGAGGCCCCCAAGTTTCCACCTGCTCAAGTTTTGTCCTGGTTCATGTGGCAGGCACCAGCCCTACCTGCATGGCCAGCAGCAGCCTGGGGGTGCCCAACCAACCCAGCGTGGGCACTACTGTTGCCACAGTGAGTGCTCGGTTGCCAGAGAATCACACACTTTCATCGAGGGAAGCTGGGAGTGTGGGCTTTTCTGGAGCTACCGCAGCATCCCCCAGGGCACAGAAGAAAGCAGAATTCAATCGTGGGGGAAGACCACCTTCACAGCAGCAGTTTCTGTTTTTTTCTGCTGGGTACAGCTGTGCCCCCCCAAGAGCCAGCAGCTAGGTTAGCATGAAAAAACTAAGAGGGTAGGGGTTGAACACATCTCTGTGCCAGCTCCTGCCCACACATGTTCATAGGGAAAAGGTGCTCTCAACCAGAAGGTTGGCCTCTCCAGTGGGGGCAGATGGGTTGAATTTCCAAAGGAAACCTGCACCAGCAGGTTAAGGAAGGCGGTCCTTCCTCTCTAAACCCAAAGCACCATGTCCAGTTCTGGGCTCCTTAGTACAAAAGGGACATGGACATACTGGAGAGAGTCCAGCAAAGGGCCACGAAGATAACTAAGGGACCGAAGCATCTGTCGTATGAGGAGAGGCCGAGAGCTAGGGCTGTTCAACCTGGAGAAGGCTCAGGACGATCTTATTAACATGTGTAAGTATCTGATGACAGGGAATGAAGAAAAGAGACCCAGACTCTCTTCCGTGGTGCCCAGTGACAAAAAGAGGCAGTGGGCACAAACCAAAATGTAAGAGTCCATCCAAAGACAAGAAAACACCTTTTTACTGTGAGGGTAGTCAAATTCAGGAACAGCTTGCCCGGAGAAGCTGAATTGTCTCCAGCTGTGGAGATACTGAAAACCCAAACAGACACAGTCCTGGTCTGCCTGTTCTAGGTGACCCTGCTTGAGCAGGATTGGACTAGATGATCAATCAATCAATCAATCAACTTCCAACCTAAACGATTCTGTAAATAAACAAACACCAACAGAAAAAAAAAGAGAGTGCAGCAGGGAGGCTGGAACCCAAACAGTCCCGCAGACTCGTACATCGCTACACATAACCACCTTTGTGTGACCACCCCTGCCGCAGCAAACTCTCCTACAACATTAAAACTAATTCGTGTATGCTGATGGCATTGAAAGTGTGAAATAAGGTACTGCTGCAAGCAAAGCCACTCTGTAGTGACACGCACTGTGCTTTTCAGGATGTGAGAAAAACCCCTGCATACTCACTTTGTGGGAGATGTGATAAATTGTTTTATCACAATTTGAGCTTGCCAATGTGACGCCCGTCTACAAGA